GGACTAGAAACGGAAATTGCAAGGGGGGGGCATATTTTGCAAAAATTTTCCCGAACGACAAGTCTTGCATTGGTCATGTAGTTATGACACTATTAACTCTTTACTGCCTCGCTCTTCAAAATTCAAACCAGATTTCGATGGAAACCTCTCCCCGTAGTGAAGCTGGCTGCATTTCTGCCCTCTGTGGTAGTTTGACCCCCCCCCCTCATGCGTACGTTTGAAGCGAAAACGCAAAGAGCTGAAGAGCTGGTCTGTGACGCTAAAATCGTAACGCGTCTGGCGACCGTTTTCTTTTCAAGCGGGTGTGATATTCATGTTCAGAGAAACAGAATACCCTCACGCGAATTTTTGGCCAGATGTTTGGTATTTGGCCAAAGCTACTGCCAGGGAAAAATTTCGACCAAATGTAGGATTTTCGAGGGGGGGGGGGCAGCGAAGGGGAACAGTGCGGTAGTTACCTTATCTATTTTATCACTTATTCCGTCATTTACAACGTTGGACAAGGCAAAGGCAGAGTGCATTACAGCAACATCAGAAAGATTCTTTCTTTCTTCCATGCGCTTAGAAGGCAAAACAAGGCAACCCAAAAAGGGGAAGCGATGCTCTGTGCCGAATAGTGCCCAATCAAGATGCCTCGCCAGAAGGCTCGGCAACCGGGCTGTAATTCCAAAAAAATGGCAAAAAATTTTTTGACTGATCTTTCTTGATGCCACTCCCATGTAGTCTGGATTTTTGCAATTTCTACAAATCTTACGTGTATTGATCGCGTTTCATGATTCCACTCCCAGTGCTATTCCGTCAGCGCAGAAAATGTTTTTGACAGACATTGGTGCTAAAGAATGCATGGGCAGAATAGCGGGCATTACTAGAAACAGCTATTCACCACTTGTACGAACTCGGAACGTTCAGCCTTTTTGGTACTCAACCCTGCACCTTTTCCTTTTGGGGCAACTTACTACCTCATTATGTTCCCGAAACACCCTCCCTCTTAGCTTTCCTTGGTATGGTTACCATAGCTTATCAGCCTTACGCTGCCTCATGATGGGCCAATTAGCCGGTATCGGGAAAGAAACTTCTACCTTTTCAGTTCAGTTCAGTCAGTTTTCACGTTATTGTTCAGATATAAGGCAAGTTGGGCTTGGTGGGGACAACAAATTGTGCTTTGCGAAGCCGTATTGGCCACCTTGTGAGGACCTTTCAACTTATTCGTATCTTCAGAGGAGTTTATGTTGCCACAGGAGCTGCTGTTGCTGAACATGAACTACCAGAAAGAACTTGCTGAAGTACGAAATGCCCTTCCCAAGCCGAACAGTGCCGATATGACCATTTTGTTGGTTCTCCTCTGTCGACTGTCATCACCTACATGCTAGCTGTTGTTGTTGTTGGTTCGTTGTTGCCAAAAGTAATCAAAAATGCAGTAGGCAGGCAGTTGGAAACTGGGAACCCACTCGTCATCGTCCCATCAGCGCGCATCCCTGGCAACCGAAATGGACTGCCGCCGGCATGAATGTGTCAAGCGATGGTATATAGCACGAAAAGATTGATAGGATGTGAGCGGAATGTCAGTAAAGGGTGGGTAGTGGGGTGGGGTGGGTGCTGGGGCAGAATAGTCGTTCGCCTTCAACTGTCCTCATTAGTAGAACATGAGAATTGTTGGAGAATATGGCGGCGATATTCACATTCATTTCCATCATTGATTCCTATTCCTTCTACTGGCTGATGGCTGTCTATAACGGTCGCAACATGAGCTTTTTTGAATTCTTTCAAAACGCTACTCTGGCTAATCTGTCCAGCTTCGGCTTACTGTAAACGTTACTTACAGTTTACTGTTCATTACTGTAGTAATAGATGTTCTCATGGGTCACGTCACTTTGTATACGAGTGATTATTGAGTTTGGGAAGAATTTCATGGCAAGGAGGGCTGATGGGCTTGTAGCCGAATTTTTTGATCCACACTCAGTTCTTACTCGAGCATTCCGGCTCCGGCTTTTTCGACTTCTGTTTTTTTACTATGCTAAGCAACCTGCGAAAGGCGTCGCGGGCGTTGTCTTCATGCACATAAGCTCCACTCAATCCCCCAAGGGGAATAGCTGCCTTACAGATATGTGTGGGAAAGAGGCCTTAATGTGTTGCTGGTGAGACGTCAAAGGAGTGCCGCTGGATACTGGTGCAGCAGCGGTGAACAACATAGTAGTCTACTCCGAATAGCTTCAGAAAATGGCCCTACGTGATGGGATTTTCGATTCGGAATATTTTCTTACACCAGGGCAGCGCGGGCAAAGGCAAGTCGGGGAATCTCGGTCAGGGATTATGTTGTCGCTTGTTTAGGTGCCCATGCATCCCCCACAAAAACTTGGTATTTGATGCCCTTTCGACAACGGGATCGAGCGATTATTCTCATCATAGTCACCGGAATCTCGGCAAAATTTGGGCACTTGTCCTAAATAAGTGCGCTGACTTTCTACTTGACTGAAGTTCTCGTTGGATGACGGAACCTGGGCGAATATGAAACTTCTTCCAGAAGTTATATGACATTTTTTCAACCTTATATAGGACAGGTGCTCAGGCATGTCTAATTTCTTACGGTTGCCCAGGCAACTTGTGTTTTTCAATAGGTTTGTCATCCTCGCAATCGGAGTAAATTACTTCTAGTTCATGCCGCAGTGTGAGGCGGAAGTGTTCTGCAAGGGATCTTACTGGCCTGGTAAAAAATAAATAATTGCGAGAGGTAGAAAGTAAAACTCCTGCTGAAAAATAGAACAAAATGGAGAAGAAAGGGCTGTCAGAAGTCGTTGGAAGAGTAGGTCTCAGGGAGGAATCATGGATGTCACTGAACAAAAAAAAGATAAAAGAGTATTACCACGTCATGTAAGCAGGCGAAGTAGTAGAGCTCTCTTTGAGTAGAAAAATGAGAACATGGGAAATCTTGGAAGGGGCAGGATCTAGTTGCCAAAATTACTATCATAACGCTAGGCAGGGGATTGTAAAGATGTGATTAGGGTTAAGTGGATATCAGCTTTAGGCGGAATTTTCATTTTTCTGGTAGTTACTGAGTGTTACTTAGTAGTTTCCCAGTGCTAGAGAGTAGTCAACCTTATCTCCCTCTACTTTTTTCATTCCAACACCAGTGTTGAATTGGGGTCGTCCAACAGGTATTTCAAGGTCTTCAGTTGAAAAGGAATCAGTTCATTCGTCGACTATCATAGGCCTAGTTGCAAGTGATGGTTAAACCCAGGTATTTTATGGCGCTTCTACGTCATCATTACTTTAATTCCGTTCAAAATCGGACTTTTTCTGACTTGCTCAACACTTGAGATCATTAATACAAGCATGTTGTAGCTTAAATCTATTATTTGTTTACCTAGGACGGATCTGACCAAGACGTTCACTCGCCGGCCGGCCCCGGTGCCCAAGGATATCTCGCCCGTGCCGGACAATTCCACCAAAACTGATGGTGTTAGCCCAAGGTAAGCTTTGCTTTGGATCTTCCGTGGTACTGTTTGAAAATTTGTGCTTAATCGGAGTGTTCCCCGCTTGAGTCTCGGCCTTAACTTTCAAAGTTTCTCAAGAAAATAGCGGCATCACTTGTCAGCCGTGCCTGTATGACCCTGCTTTGGGATCTAAACTAGATTTTTTTAAATGTATGTGCCTTTGAAGTACGTGTTGCTTCGAATCCGTCCTCCCTCGTCAGCTCTTTGAACTAGCGTGACACATTCCTTTGACGTAGAAACCCGTAGCGTGCGCGGACCAGCCATGTGATGACACAGACGCCTGTGGGAAGTAAAGGCCTGCAGCTTAGGCATCAGATTACAGATATCTGCGAGTCAAACGGGTGTATTTTCATCTTTTCGGGGTTGAGCCACCCCGGCACAGACCCCCCCCCCCCCGGCAAATCGAGATTATGGTGCAAGCATCGGAAATTGGTAAATTGGAAATAGTGGCTTACATGATGGTTATCCCGAGTGGCAGTCAGGGCACGCCATCGTTGAGATCGCATTTGAGCGCTGGAAAGAGAAGGGGGTAGTATTTTGCCGTGGAAAATTCTCTTCTGATTATTGATATACTCGTTCGCTCGCTCTGTGTTGTAAGAACTCGATGGGGTGAGGAGTGTTGTGATGGCTTGTTTCTTGCTCCGCCATGAAGTTAGGCAAGATATTAGATGGTGGTGGGATGGGAAAGGAGGTAATGCTACAGGAGGAATTTGGGGAGAGGGTCGTAACCTGCAGAAGCTTCACACAACGTGATGGTTTCCCTCCCTAACAGCGCCCCTTTGCAGGATGCGCTTTGCTCCCCTGCTGCGGAGTATGTTCTTTTTCACATATTCTTCGCGAGTAATTTCGGTCCATGAGAAGCGGATCTTGGGAATGCGTTTTAGAAATCCTCTCCCCACACCCCGCCCTCTCCTCTAGCATGCTCTTTAATTCTTTGAGACATTTCTCTTGGTCAGCCTTTCACGCTTAACGCTGCTGCATCAAGAAAGCATAGGAACGTTATCAAAAGCGAAAAAATGTTGAACATAAGCCTGCTTTTCGGAAGCTCATCAGAAAGCGCATAATCGCGCGCGTCCATCGCGAGCATTAGGCAGCGTCCGCCGGCGACCAACAGCGTCCACCAGCGTTCCGAGCGTCCGGCAGCGTCAGCGACTAGGAAAGTATAGATATCGATCTAGCGTCTGCCAGCGTCTACCAGCGTCCCAGCGTCTCGAGGGCTGGGGGCTGGGGAAGTATAGATAGCGATTTAGCGTAGGCCGA